AATTGCCCAAGGAAAGAAAATCCTGAATTCTTCCTTTTTGTGAGAAAATAGAAATTCTTGAACCATTAAGAACTATACAAGGTAGCCCAAAAGACTAGTGCAGTTTAAAGCTATTAAAACTTAAAGCTACACTAAGACTTTTATGTCAACTGTGTATTTTGAGTTTACATTTTAAGGTCATGTAGAATCACTTGTCCTCGTTGTACTGGTTAGACACATTATAAGCCCTACCGTTTAGGACTCGTGATGATCTACTACTTGTAGTTTTACATGAAGACCTTCCTATTATATAGTTTTTGGATATCATTAAGAGTAAAGGCTAGGTAACAGTATTGGAATATGTCACTGAAGTCTAGTGTACTGCAGTAAAAAAAGGCATTGTGAACTGGAATTGAGTAGATCTGATATAATAACAAATTCAGCTGTTTGATTCACTTGCTCTGTGACTTTGGGGAAATCTCTTGGTCTCAACTGGTAAAAATTAGTGGGTTGGATTAGATCTCTTAGGTAGTACTAAGATACTTTGATTTTATTATTATCTTGAATGCTTTTTCATATAGAAATAATTTTAAGGAAAACAAAAGAAAACATCCTAAGGGTTGGTAAAAGAACAATTTCCTTATTATCTCTTCATTCAGACTTTTGGGGGTCAAGGTCAAGGTGGCCAGTTGAGTGTACATTTCCTGCTAACACAGGCTATTAGAGGTGATTCATCAAAATTAGGTAGTGTCAGGAGCAGAGGAACATGACTTCCCTGCCTAGAAAGGGAATTCCAACAACAGCCCTACCTTTGGATGCAACAGCAGTAACATTTGGGAGAGAAGGACTAGAATCTTTATGGCTACGGAGTTAAAGGTTTCAACAAGAGATCAGATGGAATCTCTCAGGATCAGGAATGTAACTATAAACATCACTTCCAAAGAGCAAGGAGAAACAGAAACTACAAGCCAAGCTGACCAGAAAATGGAGAGAACAAATCAAATTAAAAAGGACATGGGCAAAGCAGAACTGAGAAGCTAAAGTACAATCCTGAAGAAGCCAGTTGAAAATATATGATACCATGGAGGCACATTGTTGAACAATAAACAGTCTTGCCTGGTGACCACACCTAACCTGAGTCTGGAAGAAATCACTATGTGGGCAGCAGGAGAGCTCTGACAGACTACATAGGAACATGATTTTCATTTAATGTTGCATAATCACCAACTTGGTGTCCCAGGCAACTCTCTGCAAGCACAGATGAATTGTTGATTTGCACTGGCACGAGGACTTTCAACATGAAGCAATTCTCACTTGGACGAAATCACAGGTCAAGAGGGATAAAAGAAAATGATGGCCTTATGCAGTGCTCATGACCCTTCAGAGATGATTTTAACCTAATGTACTGATTGGTTTTTAAAAGAAGCCAGTCTTCAATAATATGCCCGTTGTTTCTCTCTTACCTGGCTGTACTACTTTATAACTTCCCTCCAACATTTCTCCATCATGCCCAGGAATCTCATTATTGATATAACCTCATTATTCTGTAAAGTCTCATCAGCATTGGTACTCTACCTCATTACTGCCTTTTTGTCCCTCTGACTGGAAAGTGGGGCAATGAATTCCAAACCTCCATTTGAGAGACCACAGTTCAGACAACTCCTCATTTCTCACCTGGCTGCACTACTTTGGGACTTCTCTCTACCATGCCTCCAAAACTGGCACCTTCTTCATACCACCATCTTTTCAGCTTCTTTTCATTTTATCTTCCCTTTAATAAGGGAAGCTCCCTGAGGTCAGGGTTTGTCTTTTTTTGTATTTGTATCCCTAGTATTAGCACAGTGTTTGGCACAATAATAAGGTGCTTAATAAATGTTTATTGACTTAGTTCATTGTGTTTTTTCTAATACAGCATCTTGAAAGACTAACTTGGAGAGAAAATAAGTTTGTTTTAATTTCAAGGGTAGTAGCTTCACTATTATTGTCCTGAACTTAAATGAAGTATCTGAGTTTTGATAATGTTTCCCACTTTTTTCTCTATTCAAAGTATCAATTTGTACATGATCATAAGCTTTTGTACATAGCTGTGTAACTTTTAAATTTTGTTTCTAAATGCACCATCATGACAAAATGCTCCTGTCAGGAAATAAGTACATTCATTTTTTACACCCAGAACAAAATATGTTGGGGCCTCTTCTTTTGTGGAGGTATCTAAGGGTAATAGTGAACAATGGGCAGGAAAAAAAAATCTATATCACAACTGACAGAATTTGAGAGCATTTGCCCTTTGGAGAGATTCCTGCCCTGTGCCTTTATCCCTGCCAAGGACTCTCAAGTTCGGTGGTATTCTCTGCCCTCTAGAAGGGCCCAGGGGACAAGAGGTACAAGCTGTTTTGCATTGTAGTCTGGGCTCACTTGGATCCAGTTATGTCTGTGAAGATGATTCTCATATCTGCTTATCTACTTCTGACCTCTAGTCTGGAACTTCTAACTGCAAATGGGACATTCTATAGATATCCTATAGGCATCTCAAACTCAAAATATCCCAAACTGAACTCATTATCTCTACTCACAATCTTTCCCTGCTCTAAACTTTCCTCTTATTATTGAGAACACTACCGTTTTCTCAGTCACCTGGGCTTCTAATATGGGTGTCAATTTCAATTCCCTCTTCACACTCAGTCTACATAACCATTCTGTTGCCTCATCATCTCATATCTTTCACCCTCTTCCTTGTCACATAGCTGCTGCCCTAGCGAAGGCTTTCATCACCTCATGCTTGACTACTGCAATAGCCTTTTGATTGGTCTCCCTAATTCAAATTCCCTACTCCTCTGATCTCTTCTTCACTCAGCTACTAAAGTGATCTTCCTAAAGCACAAGTGTGATATCACTGCTCTGCTCCGTAAACTCCAGTGACTCCCTACATAGCGGAGAGTAAAGTATCTCTAGGATCATAAAGAATGACATATAAAATATAAAACTATATATAATTCTCTGACTTCTTAAATTCTTCACAACATTGTCCCTTCTCACCCTTCTAGTCTTCTCATACTTTACTCTCCTTTATAATCCAGTGACACTGGCCTTCTTACTGTTCCTCTTCAAGAGTTATCCCTTTATGTAAATTCACATTATGCAAATCTGACTCCTTGACAGTGGATAGCAGTGCTAGTGCAGCCACAGGCCAGAGGTCTATCTCTTTCCAGCCCGGCTGTGGGAGCCCCAGGCACTGAAGCCACTTGAGCTGCAGAGCTGTGCACCCATGGAGCCTGGAGAGGGGAGGAGGAGGTCTGTGGAATAGTCCATTTACATTAAGGGAGAACTGGCTGTACATGACACTCTTATCTCCTTAGTCTGTGCCTTTTCACTAGCTGTGTTACATTCCTGGAATGCTTTTTCTTTGCATCTTTGCTCTCTCAGCTTCCTTCAAAACTGAGCTCAAATCCGATTCTGCAAGAAACTTTTTCCAGTCCTTTCCCACCCCCACCCCACTCCCACCTTCCCACTGACATTACTTCCAATTCACCCATGTTATTTCCCCTGTTGGAATGTGAGCTTCTTGTAGGCAGAGATTGTTTTTGCCATTATATAACACAGTTGCCACTATATAATAAGCACTTAATCCTTTTTCATTGACTGGTTGATTTGCTTTGTCAACATGTGGACATGAACTTGGGTTTCTGAAAGATTTTGCCATCTGAGCACAAGCTTTTGGCAGGTCACATGAAGCTAGGAGGGCTTCAAGTAGAGGACTAATGATAGCCCATCATCAGAGGATCCATTTTACTGTATAGAAGGTCGCTGGCCAGAAAATTTACCCATAAGTTGACTTTTTTCAGCTACAACTCTTTTCAACTATAACAACAAAGTTCCCTCTACTAATGTAATTCACATTGATGAAGTCACATATTCTTGAAGGGTCAAAACATGTATCATTGTATTCTGTGAAATTTTTTATATTTTTAAAATCACTTTTATATTGTCTTTTTTTTTACTTGTCTTGCCTCTAGTATCATTCCTCTTGACTACTAAAGAAACTGAGTTGCAGAGGTTGTGACACAGAAGAGTGACTTCTGTGATTGAAGTCACAATAAGTTAATGTAGAAAACTTGGGACTAGAATTGAGATCTTTTGCTTTGTAGTCCATTGTTTTTAGAAGTATCAACTATTGGTTTTTTTTGTTTTAAAATACCAATTTTGTTTATGTTTTATAAAAAGACTGACACATTCTGTATTGGTGTTGAATTGAATAAGTTGACATTGCCTATAGTATAGCCCAAAGTTTTAGGTTAAAATATCAACTTTAGAACAACTTAAGACATAAAGACATGCTAGAAATGAAGATGGTACAGTTGCTGTCTCTATCAGAAGGGAAATAAAGTACTGTTCCTGTCTCAGAAAGGAAGTAAAGTACTGTTGGACAGCTCAGTGGTGCAGTGGATAGAGCTCAGCCTTAAGTCCAAAAGGCTCATCTTCCTGAGTTCAAATCTGGCCTCAGACACTCATTAGCTGTGTGATCTGGGCTTGTCACTTAACCCTGTTTGCTTAAGTTTCCTCATCTGTAAAATGAACTGGAGAAGGAAATGACAAACCCCTGCAGTATCTTTGCCAAGAATACCCTAAATGGGGTTATGAAGAGTCAGACATGACTGAAATGACTAAACAATGACAACAACAACAACAAAAGTATGATTATGCCCTAGAAATCATTTGGAATTGGATAGTCTCACTTCAGTGGTGCTTTTGAAGTAGAAATTTTGGGAATTTGAAATTTGGTGGTTCTTATTTTGTATTTGATTTAACCTTTTACATCCTCCCTCCACCTCTCCCTCCAGTTTTAAAAACATTAAAGAGTACATTCTGGTGCCTTACTTTATTGAGATGTTAAATAAACTTGTCCATTGTTAAGAATGCCATAAAATACTTTAAATGAATTTTTAATAAAATGTTAAGATAGCATTGCCAAAAACCAAGATTCATTATATTAATTATACTTTTCTGATTTTGTTTTATTTTAGTAATTGATCGAAATCTTCAGAAAATTGAAGGCCCTTGAATTTTTCAGTCGAAGTCGTGAAGCCTCCCTGGCCAACAAAGAACATTAAACACAGCTGTTTAGGCAGCTGCTTCTATGCCAGGAACGGAATATGCCGAAGATTGCATACCAACGTTATCATTGAGTGAAGGCCTGGAACTCAACACACAATTGTTTTTAGAAATGCAGATTAAAAAAATGAAGGAAATAATACCACAATTATATACAAATCAGGTGATTGACCGAAATAATTCTTTGACTACATCCCCAAAACAACTCAGTGGTAAATATGTGAATCAGCCCAATGGAAATGAAGCTCAGCCCCATGGTTATCAAGACACCAAGGCAGAGGATGACAAGACATCTATGGTAACTTGTGTGAGGTGTAGAAGTGTACAAAAAATCCCACTCCAGGAGCTGAAAAAGGATAACCAACATAGTCAAAATGAAGACCAGATGTTCTTTCTTTGTGTCAAATGCAACTTAGGTGTATCTCCTCCTTTCCCTTGTATGAATGATATACCAAGTGCTATTGATTCAGGAAATAAAGATAACACTATTTCAAGGACTACTACTAACCAGTTTAAAGTAAAAAACTTTCAGCCAGGCAAATATTACTGTGATAAGTGCCGTTTTTCTACCAAGGATGCTCTGCAGTATAAAAAGCACACGCTCCAGCATGAAGAGATTAAATTCTTTTGTTCACACTGCAACTATGTCTCATACACAAAAGGAGAATTCCAGAGGCATTTGGTGAAACACACAGGGACATTTCCGTATCAGTGCGAGTATTGTGACTATGGTGCCGTCAGAAATGATTACATAGTTAAACACACAAAACGAGTTCATGAGACCAGTGGTGAGAAACGACCTCTTAAACAGGCTGTGGAACACCAGCCAAAGAGAGCCAATTTTTCAAAACAGAGCTCTGAGGTTCTTGTAAATGAAGTTTCTAAGTCAAATTCTTTTCTGAATGAGCCATCAGATTTATCTTTATGTTTCTTTGGCCATGGAGATCAGGACAAAGCAGGCCATGCTATTTCCTTACCTGAGTCTAAGGAATGCAGCAAGGATGAAGCAGCCTCAGCTCCTGATAAAGCCTGCCTTCCTGAACCAAGCAAAGTTAACTTTTTCGAGAATGAAAATGTGGAAGTTGAATTGTTATCACCAGCAAAAGAACCTGTGCAGCCAGGCATGCCACTCACTGTGGTTGCACCAGCAGAACTTAAAGTCCCTGATAACTGTTTAGCCCAGTTGATAGATGTTAAGGTAGTCAATGGGACGCAGCAACTTGTTTTAAAACTGATTCCATTGAAAGAAAAAAATGGCCTTAAACCTGGCAGCTCTGATGAAGGTAAGTATGAGTTCGTGAGCAAATCCACAGTGCCAAATGAGCAAGAAAAACCAGTGCCTATTGAACAAAGCCCACCAGCAGTAGAAAGGAGTCCTGAGAAGCCATTGGCCATTGGTAATCTGCACTCCACAGATTACACCCATGTGAAGGATCTAGATTGCAAAAAGTCTTCTTTTCTCCAGTGTTAAAGGCCATGTCAGAGACTAATCAAAGCCAGTGTGAGTCCTGTCCAAATAGTGATGGAATTGGGAACTGGATCAAGAAGTGCTTTCAGTTCCATATAGAACAGCCCTTTCTCCTGTTTGCTCAAGAGATGGTGATATTAAACAAAATAATTATTTTTCTTCATTATCTGCGGTGAATAATGGTGCTTTATACAGTCCTATGAAAAGGTCAGGTGTTTTTCCACACGTGTCTGCCCTCTCCCCTCATCAAGACAGATCTCAGAATCATTTAGAGAAATCACCTTCAGACTGCAAACCTCCTGAAGCTATTGGGGCTTTTGCAGAAAGAGGCATGTTGCCAGTGAGCCCAGGGGCCTCTCTGCATAGGAATGAAGTTGGTACTTTTAAAATGGCTCCTTTCAGTGAGAAACGGAAACAAGCACAAGTAAAAGAACCGTCAGATGATACAAATCCAGTGCAATATTCCTCTTTACATAGTGAACAATCACACATCAACTTAATTGGAGAAAATGATATTAAGACTCAAGATCCTGAGGAGGTGATTTTGGAAGATCTTGTTGGAGTAACTATTCAGAATTCAGGAAGTAACATTACTTCTTCAGATGGCCCTATCATTTCATCAGTGTTTTCTCTTAGCTCTGGGACTGAAAATATCCCCGAAGGGATTAAATGGGACAACATAAATTGTGGGACAAAGCCAGTTGATTCATTGCATAGAAGAATTGCCCAGTTGATTGCTGCTACTGAATCTTCAAAATCTTCATTGTCTCCTTTAAGCACTGTGGAACAGCAGTCCTCAGCCTTGGAAACTCCCATAGACTGTTGTCTAGGATGTAATGTACCAAGTCATGATTCAGCACCACCCCAGGGATTACAAAATGATGCTGCTGATATTGAACAACTTACTCTTGAGCAAATGCAACACCAAGACAGTGAGGAGGAACAAAAAAAAGCTAGGGAAACCAGAAAGGATCCTGGCACTGTTCCTGGGTTCATTCCAAAAGGGACTGTGTTAAAAGCATACAATTCCACTGAGAATGAACGTTTAGTAGAGAATAAATTGCCTTGTGATGTCTTTGGCAATGAAAGGCTGTTACCAAAATCTGTTCCCTTCAATTCTCTTGAAGAGGTAGGTGAAGACTTTTCTTTGACAAATGAAAGTCAGTCAACAGACAGTTCCAGAAATTTTGGTATATCGTTGGAGAATAAGCCAAATCAAGAAGTCACTACCAGTATTGTCTGTAACAAATCAAATTGTGCATGTTCACAACCAGCAGAAGGCCATGACCAGGGTAAAGAGGGAAAATTGATTTTTGGAGGTCCCTCAGGGTCCAGAATTAAGACAAAACAGGCAGTTATCTCCAAGAAAAAATCAAAAATTCAATCTGATTCTAGTCACTTGCTTCCAGATGTTTGTATTTTTATGACATCAAGACATCTCAGACTTATGCCTGTCAGAACAGAACAGTTGATTAAATGCCCCCGCCGGAACCAACCTGTTGTTGTGTTAAACCATCCAGATGTTGACTCAATAGAAGTAATTAATGTGATGAAGGTTGTCAACAAGTACAAAGGGAATGTCCTCAAAGTGGTTTTATCAGAACGAACATGTGACCAACTAGGTATAAAGCGGCATCACAGACGACTTATCTATCAGAACATGGAGGCAGTGTTCCCAGTGAAAAAGCAGACTATGCTGAAAATGAAACTTAAAAAGATCCACAAGAACAGCTACCAGGTAGTGGATTCCTTACCAGGTGAATCAGTACAGGGTATGTTTAAATGTTGGTTTTGTGGAAGGATATATGAAGACCAGGAAGAGTGGATGAGTCATGGGCAGCGACATTTGATAGAAGCAACCAGAGATTGGGAGCAGCTCTCTCCTCCTATGGGGATCCCCAAATGAATAGATGGGATTAAAAAATGTGGCTTTTCTTATATTAGGTAGATTTTTTTTTTTTAATTTTTGAGGGCAGGGGGATGGGAAAGGAAAGCAGTTAGAATAAGAGGGTGAAAAAAAATACAGATAATGTATAGGGATAAAAAGAGTTTAGTAGCACTTCAGAAAATGAAATATCCAGAGTATTCTAAACAGGTCAAAGTCTTTTATACTCTGCACCCTTTTATGGAAAAGTTGGAGACATTATATGGAGATGTTAATAGTGTTCTCTGTTTTCTCAATAGGAAGTAAATTGCCACAGAAGTAGTAGACTAAATTGTCCTTGACAACTTAGCCTTGCTTTTAGTTCTTTGGTTTTTTACCAAAGGAGAATTGGTGAGCAGCAAGAGCATGCCATATAGTGAACCATGAACCACCACTATCCCACCTTCTTCCCCTGCCCCTCACAAAACATTGGTTCCTAATCTGAGTGTAAAGACACTTAACATTATACATACACACACACACCCCTCATGAATATATGGTACTAGTTTCACAATAGTGTCTCATACAGTAGTATGAGAACATAAGAATTTTCATTTGCATTCATGGGACCTTACAATAACTTCATCTGCTACTTCTTTTTCTTGTCCTTTCCCTGCTATAGCCAGGGCCTCTGACATTCTCAGCCCTTGTGTTGGAAATCACTGCCCTAAATGTGATGAAATGCTAGAAGCTTTGCACATTTTCCCAGTTTTTATTTTTAAAGAAGACTGAAGTTGATGGTCATGATATGACATTGTAAAATAAGAAGGGTAGATTAGACGCCTAGTGGTGTGGTGGAAAAGATGCACTAGATTTGGAGTCAGAGGACCTGGCTTCGAATGCTCACTCTGCTATTTGTGTGACTTTGGCCAACTCACTCTTTCTGGGCCCCAGTTTTCTCAGAAATAAAATGAGTTGGTTAGACTAGATATCTTTAGGACTCTTCCATTTCTAAGTCCTGTCACTGGATTCTAGATTATTGCCTAGGTCATGTGAGTGGAATGGACCTTAGACAACATCTGAATTCACTGTTATTTAATTAGGACTAGAGGGAAATGAGCTTTCTTTTTTTTTCTTTTTTTCTAAGTGCCTGATTTTTCCTCCTTTTTTAGTGCCTGGTGCCTATTATGGTGGTTAACAGTATGGGACAAATTATCTCAAGGTGCAAAATGCCCTTGCCTAAAAGGGGCAGTTGGGAGTGGGAGTGGGTGTATGGATGGGAGGAAAGGGCAGAACAGTAAGGAGTAACCTTTTTGAGTTAATCTTAAAATATTTTCCTGGGCTATACACAGGTAGACAAGACCTATTCTTCCTCACCCTAAATTTTCAAAGAAAGTCTTGGATCGTATTTTTTATTTCAGAACATGGTGGCAAGGAGATTGTTGCATTTAGAATTGCCCACTGTTGCAAATACCATTTCGAACAGAATCATGACAGCAATTTTAGTTAAAACAGCTTTAGTTAATTGAGTTTTGCTGGCAAAATGCTTTTTTATCCTCTGTACATATATGTGTGCATATCTGCAGCTAAACACATAAATATTTTTTAAAGTACTGTTTGAAAATGTCAGCAGTACCTATTTTCACTGACCCATTTTGTAAAGAATTACTATAGTCTGGAAAAAATTTAAGTACTTTTTTTATACTCAAGAAATGACACCTTTATTTTGGGAGTGCATTTTTTATAAGTATTGATCTCAACTTGTAGAAAATAAAAGCACAATTTGTGGTGATTTGGATCTGATTTATAAGACAAATACAGGAATCTATGTTAATATATAATTTTATTTCCTCAATACAGTATTAAAAAATATGGATGTTTCAGATGGTGCTTTTAGGAACTGGGTCTTAAATATATTAACTAAGTCAAAAAAACAAAAAAATGTACCATGTGAATTTACATCCTTCTAATGTGCAAGGGGAGGTGTCTGAAATGTCGTGAGAGAGCAAACAAAGTGGTAGGCTTTTAAGTTAGCTTGTGAAGAGCTAGACTTATGGAAGGGTAAGATTTGGGGAGAAGTAGAAATAATAAAAATAAGCTCAAAGTATTGAGAGCCTTCCAGGAATCACATTGGAGTGTTCATTTGTGTTATAAAATACAAATATTTCTTAATATGTTTTTCCTGTATTACATCAAAAGATAGCTTCACCTAATATTTATGAAAATGAGTTTTAATATTTATGAAAATGAGTTTTGTAGGGTACAAGTGCTTGTATGTTTCCATAGTCAAGGGAAACAGTTGGCTCAAAACTAAAATATTTCAGACTATTATTAGATCTTCCTGAAGTGTAATGGACTGCCTTGGGAGGTAGTGAGTTCTTTGAGGTCTTCATGTAGAAGCTTGGATGACCACTTGTCAAAGATATTATAAGGGGATGCCTATTAGGTACAGCCTCTGAAGTCCTTTCCAATTCTTTAGATTCTGTGATTCTGTAACTCTTGTAATTTTCCTAACACAGAAAAATCTGAAAGAACTGTTGAAAATCATTTAGGCTCATTGTTTCCCATACAAAAGCTTTCTTATTTCCTTGAAGCAATCTCCCAAGACTTATTTGAATATAAATATGTTCACTTCAAGAACTTGTATTAATGAAAATCACAACAAAAAATGTTAACATAGTTTTTTCTTTCTTTTAGTACTCAAAGGGCCTACTTAACCACAGTTTATAAGGAGTACTCAGCACAAATTCAGTACAACTTTTTTTTTCTTGAAATGGAACCAGAAAATTGGATGATCTTCCTATATTCAGGATTAAGGTGTAGAGCAGTCCCATGGTGCCCAGTAAAATAGTTAATGTTTAAATTCATCTTCCTCAGAGACACTACAATTTACAAATGGCAGAGTATTAACCCTACAAAACTTAACCTCTCCCTTTTCCAGGATAACTTTTGGATTACATCTTACAGAAAGTGAGGTTATGTTGTTCAAACTTTGTCATCCTTTTGGAATTTGTTTTCTACCTGTATGCATTTATAAAGTACAATGTTCAGAATATTTGAAGGATTGTTTTAAGTCCTGTATTAATGTTTTCTGTGGTTACTGTTCTAATTTTGAAACAAACATTTGTACATAGTAATAGAAGTGTTTACATTGTAAAGTTTGTTAAATAAAACACTTGCAATGGTTTTGCCACCTGATTTTTTGTTTAAAAGTAAACATTTGAAAATTTGGGTTGTAAGTTACAGTCTTGACTTTAATGAGGCAATTTGAGACATTAGAAAGCATTGAATTTGGAGGAATATGACCTGGAATCCAAGTCCTAGCTTTGCTATTTACTACCTGTGTGGTGATGAGCAAGTCACATCACCTCTTTGGGCCTCAGTAAAATGAAGTGAGACTGGATTATCTCTTAACTTCCCTTCCAGCTGTAATTCCTAGGACGTTATATAAAGTCATGATTTCCTTGTGCTAGAATAAGTTAAGACTTCTATAGCAGTTTAGATTTTACATCTTACATCACAGTCTTTGAGATAGGTGATTCATGCATCGTTCTCATGATAATGATGATAACCATGATAACTACAGAATCTTATAGTTGGAAGGAACCTTGAAGGTTGTATGGTCCAACTGGCGCCCTAATCTCTACAATAGACTTGACAAGTGGTCGTTGGGCTGTTGCTTGAAGATGTCTGCCTCTGCTAGCTCAAACCTTTGCATCAAATGATACCTTAATTTTATGAAAGGGTAAACTTGTATTGGTAGATTAAATGTCTTGGATTATGAGTGGCAGAGCTTTAAGTTCCTACCAGAAGAGTAACAGTTCAATGACTTCAGTAGTCACACTTGACTTGCATTTCAACAGTAGCTTGTGAAATGTTTGATTAGGCTTGATCTTTAAAAAAAAGTACAGGAAAGGAGAGTTCTTGTGCAGTAGTTGACCAAATTTGGGAAAAGGGATAGAGAGTAACTAGAGGTACTAACCTGGTTTTACCATTCTACATCACTCAGAAGTACTGCCAGAAAGGAAGTAGAAGTGTGGAGCTTTTCAGACACTGACAGATAAGAAAGCAACCACTGAATTTGTTGGTTGAGAAAGGTTCATGGTAGTGTTGAATTTGGTGTTTTCATACAGGACTATTGCTCACTAAACTTGGTGGATTGCTTCATGGGTAGGATGCTACTAATAATAGCTAGTGTTTATATGGCACTTTTAAGGTTTGCAAAGTGCTTTACAAATATTTCATTTGATCCTAATAACCTTGGGAGGAGGTGATAATATCTCCATTTTACAGTTAAGGAAACAGGCTAATGGATTAAGCAACTTGCCTAGAGTCACATAGCATGTCTGAGGCCTGTTTGAACTCATGTCTTCCTTGCCTTCTTACCTAGGTTAGATTCATATTATGAAAGGGAATACCCTCACATGTGCCTTGATGACAAATGTCCTCAAATTGAGTGGACAACAGTGTTGCCTGTTTTCATAATTTCATAATTCATTTCTATGATAGAAGATGTCCCAACAGATAATTCCTCATAGGATAGGGAATAGTGACTGGACAAGTGCAAAACAATTGGTATTTTAAAACTTGTTGTCAGTATGACTACTATCTTTGGAAGAGAGGTGGGATTATTTAATTATGAACAAGAAAAGTATGTCAATAATGAGGCATTTGTTAAGAAGCAGCATGGTGTAGTGGTGAGAGTGTTAGATCTGAAATTGAGAGAGACCTGGGTTCAAATCCTTTCTCTGATAGTTACTAACTGACTATGAGCAAATCTATTGGCCTTTCTTAGCCCGTGTTCCCTCATGTAGAATGGAGAAAGAATTCTATAGCCCTTATATCACAAGGATGTGAGGATCAAATAAGATCAAGGGGTCATAGATCTAGAGCTGGTAGATAACTCCAGAGGCTGGCTATGTGTTTGGATAATTATGTAAAAGTTCTTAAATTTAATATTATATATAAATATTAGTTATTGAGGGTGGGTCTGGGTTCAAGTCCTGCCTGTGACACTGGCTGTGACCATAGGCAAATCATTTAAACTCTAAGAGTTCTAGGCAACCTGAAGCTATTAAATTATAGAAAAAATGCTGTCCTGAATTGGTAGAGGGAATTTATTGGGAGTTTCCTATGCTCATGAAATCACATATCCAGTTCCAATTCCCATCCCAACTTTTGCTGTGTCAGTTTGTGTTAGTAGTTATTCTTCTACTAAAATCCTGCAGTTTCTCATCATGATGGGAAAGTAACCCTGGTTTCTCAAATGCCATACCAACAGAGTTCAAAGTCTGGTAGGATCTACCTACCAGCCTGGAAAGTTTTTGAGTTCCGGTTCTAGATTACATATCTCATCCAAAGACCAGCCTAGTGAAGTTTTCAAAGACTCACTGGTCATAGAGCAATATGATTTCTTTCCATGGTAAGGTTGCAGTCTGTGTCAATGAAGGGAGAACCTACACCAGTGATATCATAGATCCTTGAAATATGGAAAGAGTAGTTGTGACCCACCTCCTCCCATGTTGATAGTGGCATCTTCAAAAGAGAGGTCCACCCTGGCACAAACTAGGAAGATATAAACATCAGTTTCCCTGATTATACATAGTTATTTCATAGGCTCATAGCTTTAGAGCTGGAAGTGTTCTTAGAAGACATCTCATCTAACCCCCTCATTTTACAAATGAGGAAATGGACATAGACATATTAAGTGTTTCACCCAAAGTCAACACAGATATAAGTGGCAGAGCTGGTCTTCTGATTCTTAATCATGTTTTTTTCATTGCATTATGCTCACTGTGAGAGGCACAGAGATATTTAGTTATTTATTAGGTAATTAAACCAGATCAATGTATTAAGTGTTTCTGCTGTTGATTTTAAGGATTTTTGTTAATATATATTCAGATGTGCTAGGTCTCTGAATTTTCTATCTGTGGAAAACACAATAGAGCCATACTGCATTAGAGTGATTACCTTTCTGACTTGCCAGATGTGATTCTAGGGTTTGTCAGGTGTATCGACAAACTTACTTCCTTCACTGGAGGAGTGATTGCAAATCACTGTTTTGGAATCATGTTTCATAATGATTTCTAAATAAGGTTAGTTGGCACCAGAAAACATGCACTGTCACCCAAGGTCAGGAAAGGGATATCTGGGAGAAAGCTGAGTGGGCATTTTCAGACCATGATTCATGACTGCTATTTTAAACTGTCGCCTTTCCTAAAGAACTTTTATATTGTTTAGTTTTTCCTTTGCTACTTATGTAGAGACAAAGGACTCATGCTTTGTGCCAAGCATTTTACTGTTCTGTAAAATGCTAATGACCTTGGCAAGAACAAGAGGGTGGAAAATATTAATCAGAATTGGCATCAAGTATATTTGGCTTTCACTTAGAAAAATTGGAAGAGTTGGAAGTATATAGTAATAGTAATGTCACCAGCATTTAAATAGTTCTAGGCACAGATCACATTTGAACTTCACAACAGCTTTTGAGGTAGGTATTATCAATATTTTTATTCCTACATGGGTTAGTGGGAAAAGCACTAGATTTAAAGGTAGAGAACCTGGCTTCAGAGATGCTGGTTCTGATATTTATTACCTGTATGACCTGAGGCAAGTCATTTCCTCTCAGTGGAACTTAAATTCCTCTTTTGTATAATGAGAATATTGCACTAGGTGATCTCTGAGGTCCCTTCTAGTTCCCAATCTTCTACAAATGATGAAACACTTTCATTCAAGTGAAATCACTTTTGTAATGTCACACAACTAGTATCAGAGCTAGGACATTGGCTAAACTCTTTGGATTTTGTGTCCAGTCTTCTTTCCTCACTTATACAAAGTATGGCAGCAGGTGGCTTCAGTAATAGGTGCTTCTAGTCAAACCCATGTCTACCTACTATAGTGGGTATATTGCTTTATATAAGGATGGACTAAATGATCCCTTAAGGCCCTTGTAAATACTATACCATGATACTTATACTGCAACTATAGCATTTTTATCTACTTTTTACTATCACATAGCTGATTACCTAGTTCAATATCTTCATTTTACAGAATTAGAAAATCTTAAGAGTTTTAAACAACTTTAGACATCATCTAGGCCAGCACTTCTTAAACTGTGGGTTGAGACGTATGGGGTTTTGAAACATTTGGCAACAATAAATGGTTTCTGAATGCACAATGACCAAAAATTAATTAAAAATTAAATGTGTAATGAACCCAAGGTGTTTC